TGATGAGCGCAGGCTCGGCCTCTGGCGATTTGGAGTCGAGCGTCAATTCTGTGTCTACTGCGATTTCTGGATTGCATATTAAGCGAATGACGTGAGAGCAGCCACGACACCGATAAAATGAAGTTGGTGGATCGTCCTCATTGGCCACTGCCTGCTTTGTAATGCAGAGAATGCGCCATTTATGTTTGACTACCGTCTCATTTCGTCTACACCATCAAGACGGACATCAATGCGCAGACAAACCATGATTTTGCTGGAAAAAGATGTGGGTGCGAGTTGGCAGCTAGATGCTAGGAAGCATTATATTATTCTGCGTGGCCTTTTGCAGCATGAGCACACAACGCCACCCACGTCTGCCAGGTGTCAGAATGCCGTCACCATAATTTCCCACCAGCATTCCATTTCGTATCGCCGTCACTGTGAAGAAGTATAGTGTGCCAGAAGTCAGTCCGTCAAGGGTGACTTTGTCCCAGTGATGAGGGCAAATACCGACTTCGCCAAGTCAGGGGCATAATTTGATTCTGCGTTGATTGTGGCTCAAGACGAATGGCGTTGTTGTTGGTGATGGTGGGAGAGGAGATGCATACGAGCGGGTGCTTCAGCCTAATGCGACATGAACGCGAAGGTAGAGGATATGAACCAAGTGGAAGCAATTCAGTCGTTTCACCAAGTGCTGGGAAACGTAATTCCCCTACACTTCTCTCCTGACACGACTTTCAGCTCAACTGCCGAGCTTATTGCCTGCATCATTGTAATGCTCGACCAAAGGTGAAGTCACCAAGAAAAGAATGTATGAGTGAGACGCCATCCTCTCACCCACTAATACTTCCCATCCACAACTCGTAAACATCGCTACGCTTCAACGCCGCCTTGTATGCACACAGTGTTCTCACATGCGTGAGGGGAGGTCAAGGTGAAAAGACGACGCGTCCATGCCGTTGCACACTTGTACTTATCCGGATCATAATGAGATGTGTGGCGTAACTTAGCGGTCTTCACAAGGAAGGACTGCAGCTCGCAGTGCGGGTGTGAGACCAAAGCAAAGCACTGTCTATCGAGTTGTTGGACAGCATTAGGTGGTGGTGTTTGCAAAGTTGGCTGCAAGTAGAAATGATAGACAGGTTTTCGTGGGAAAAGCGTGTGCAGTGTCTCAGGTAAGGCCAGTGTTGTGACACCAACCTCACCTCGTTCACACTGTCATGCCAGAGTGTAAAGAGAGTGACGCTCTCGGGAAACGCGATCTACAAGGGTGTATTTTCAAAGGGACCAGAAGTTGAAAAGAGACAGTACGATGACTATGACTGTGCTAAAGATTAACAGTGGTGTCATAGTTTACTACAACCCACCTTCTGCTTACGGAAGACAAGTGTCGGTTAGGTGAGATAGTTGCTCTTGGGCAATGTTGGGTTCCCTTCTCAGCCACTCATCGCACCACCTCATTTGAGATCGCTAAATTGCAAGCGCTTTCCCATTGTTTGCTGTCACGAAATTGTGGGGCAAAAGTCTAACTGCGTACCATGTATGTTGGTCTTTGCGATAGCAGCTGGTAGGACTGGCGGGGGACGGATGGATGTGACTGGCCTAATGCAGTGTATTTCTGAATGAAGTAACTGCAAATTACTACTTGCCGACCACCCTACTACTTGGATTTCGAGCGAATGTCTACCACCTCCATTCGTACGCTGCACCACATCAAACCACCCTGGTGGATATCACACGAAGCTGGGGGATTGGCGTGTGGTATGTC